GACAAAATGCACCTCTTTAAAAGCCATAGATAACACAGTCTGGAGCTGGAGGAGCACAGCAGGCCAGGCGGCATCGGAGGAACGGGGAAGTTGACGTTTCTGGTCGAGACCCTTCTTCAGAAATTGGGCAGGGGACGTGGGGGAGCTCAGAAATAAATAGAGAGAGGGGTGGGGCTGGGAAAGGTAGGGTGGATGGTGATAGCCCCAGCCCCACCCCTCCTCTCTCTATTTATTTCTGAGCTCCCTTCCCCTACCCCACCCCTATTTCTGAAGAAGGGTCCTGACCCGAAACGTCAACATTCCTGCTCCTCCGATGCTGCCTGGCCTGCTGTGTTCCTCCAGCTCCACACTGTTTTATCTCTGACTCCAGCATCTGCAGTTCTTACTATCTCTTTAAAGCCATAGTATTGTAACACTTGCTTCTGCAACTGGAGCTGGGCCATTGGTAAAATAGTTTCATTTGGTTGAATCTTACATTTTATTGGCTAACTATGTGTCAAGTTTTTAGGAGGGATTCTCACAACAAAACCCCACAAGAATTATTGCTGTATCTAATCAAACATACCTCATTAGCAAATTACCCCTTCACTATGACATCCCTTATGTCTGATTCTCGGCACACCTTACCATGCGCAATTCCCAGAATGACTCAGCATTCACAAGATTTTTGACAAAAAACCAGCATCATGTATGCTCGGGCCATATTGAAAAGGCTGCTAATTACATGGACAAGCAGTGACAATCTAATATTGCCTCTCACCAGCAGAGCAATAGCACAACAGCCACAAAGACACGCTGTTCATTCTGCAGCCTCAGCACGTACACCAATTTGGTGAATGTGTTGTGCCAGCTGTGTGACCAACACATTAGATCGAAAGGGAGTGCCTGTTGTAGTCTGACTTCCTTCCTATTTCCAGATCAATCATTCAACTTTTCATTGCGTTCAGCACTGAGCATCAATAAATTTACATTTACAGTTGATGAAGTGACGGTCTCCACTTCTTATAGCAACCTATAATGTCTTTGACAAACATTGGCCTCACTATTGCTAATTTCAATATTGTGCAGGTAAGGAGAGGAAAATGAAATGTTAGCCTTCATGTCAAAGGGAATAAAGTAAAAATATAGGGTATTTTTGCTAAAACAATACAAGGCACTTGTCAGACCACATTTGAAATAGTGTGAACAGTTTTTGAGCCCTTTTATAAGGAAAGATAATATTGGCGTTAGAGGCAGTCCAGAGAAGTTCACCGGGCTGATCCCATTTATGGACTGTCTTATGAGGATAGGTTGAATAAGTTGGGCCTGTAACTATTGGAGTTTAGAAGAATGAGAGATGACCTTATTGAAACATACAGAATTCTTAGGTGACTCAGTAGGGTAGATGCGGATAAGTTGTTTCCCCTTGAGGGAGAGTTTAGGAGCAGAGGGTGTAATCTTAGATTTAAAACAGAGATGAAGAGGAGTTTCTTCTCTGAGGGTAATGAATCCTTTTAGTTCTTTGTAGATAGCTGTGGAGGCTGGGTTATTAAGTATTCAGAGCTGAGATAGAATTTTAATTGTGGTTGACCCTTAACTGCTCTCTGAACAATCAGGAATGAGAAATAAATGCTGACCTAGCCAGTGATGCCCACATCCCGTGAATGAATTAAAAAAAACATTATTGATTTCATTGAGCAGTGAAGCAAACTCCATGGGCTCAATGGTCTACTTCTTCTTTTACATCTAATGGTCTTATGCACAGACAGTTAAACTCATTTGTGGTTTGCTCCTGAATAATAACATTTTGATCCATCTTTCATCTATTTGCAAGTTTTATATGTTGAGTTATGGTATTAATGTGGAATTGCAGCGAGAAGCAAGGATACATTTTCCCTCAACCCTGATTAAGAAAACCTGCGTTTTTAGTTTTATAAATATATAATGTGTTTTTTATTATTTATGAAGGAAAGCAGAAGCAGTAACCTCCAGTCTAAAGCTGTCTTTGAAACAAGAGTTTGAACAGTTGAAATGAACCTCTGATATGAGTGTAGAAGGTGATCACATCAAGATGAAATTTTACAGTTCTTCGTAGTTTTTAACCTTTGAGGCTACCACACATAACTCATTGCAGTTGTGAAGTTATAATCATGTCTGCTGAAGAAATGAAAATCTCCTATGTCTGCAGGATGATATTTCCCACAATTGTACATTATGCCTAACAGTATCACTGCGGTGGTCCTGATATTCTATAATATGAAATTACAAGGCTGATTTTTTTATCAGTGTATCTTTTGATGGTGACCCGTGACTACCCCTGCAACCATATCGAAAAATTGTGCACACATTAAAGTTAATCATCAGGATATAGTGTGGTGTCCAGTGATTTCCTGATAATTGAGCAACTGGTTGGGGAGGCTCCCTATGTAGCACGTATTTGTAAAATTGTCCCCAACAGGTAAATGGAGAATTAATCAAAAGACTATCTGCTTGCCCATTCAACATCCACCCTGGTGCTTTCTCCTGTAACTTCTGTAACTGCTGTTCACAATCTGTCTATCATTCTGATGGAAAAGTGCTAACTTTCCTGAAGAGAATATTGACCTTTATTGTCTCACATTTTTTGCAACCAATTTTGATATAATTTTCCTCTATTTTCTCCAGTCTATTCAATCACTTTAGAGCTTTGTGCTTTAAATTATCTGTTGGATGTCACTTTATTTTTCCCTTTAATTCCAGCATTCATCATGGTCACGGTCTTTCCTGTCTTTCATTTAATACCACAATGGTCCTCTGAAACCTTCTTCCTTGTTTCCATTAAACTCCAAAAACACAAGCATAAGTGCTTTTCTCTTCCCTACATCTTGTGCTAAGTCATTCTCAGGAACTCAGAATATTGGACCTCTTTACTATTTCAATGCAGCTTAGCTTCAGATAATCACACTTCTTAATAGTATCTGCTAACAGTGTTATTGTAAAAAAGAGTGCATTGTAAATATAGCACAAAACTTGGGAATTTGGTAAGAATAGGGGAATTCAGAACAGCAAAGAAGAAAGATGGTGCTTTTTTTTGCCTGCAGTACTTGTGGCGATTCTTCTTAGCGTGAATCAATAAACGTCATTTTTTTCCTCTGTGTTTTAATGCTTAGTGCACGTTATTAGGTAGAAAGCAAAAAAAAAATCTCAGTTCAGAGCCTTGTAGGGCATGGTGAGATTTATAGAAGCATTAATCAAGAAATAGTTTGAGGCCAATTCCAACATTGGGAGCATCTATCTGCATTTTTTTAGGCACGTGAGGTGGGTTTCTCAAAAAAAGACCTGAAAACTACTGGAGAAACCCAGCAGGTCTGGCAGCACCTGTGAAGAGAGAAACAGAGTTAAACTTTCAAGTCCAACATGACACTTCTTCAATTCAGTGGGTGACATTTTAGACACATTCACTAGATACAGGTGAGGTGCCGGAGGATGGGAATAATGCAAATGTGTTCCATCGTTTGAAAAGGGTACAAAGGAAATATCAAACAATTTTGGCTAGTTAGTCTTACTTTGGTGTGGGCAAATTGTTGGAATCAATCCTGTGAAATTGGATAAACTGTTACTTAGAAAGACACGGACGAGTAAGAGGTAGTAAGCATGGCTTTGTTAAAGGAAGGTTATGCCTTACAAATTTGATTGAATTCTTTGAGGAAGTGGCAAGGAGGATCGATGAGGGTAGTGTAGTGGATGTTGTTTATATGGATTTTAGTAAGGCATTTTATAAGGCATGGCAGACTGGTCCAAAAACTAAAAGCCCATGGGATACAGGATAATGTGTTGAATTGGATCCAAAGTTGGCTTAGTAACAGGAAACAAAAGATAATGTTCAATGGTTGCCCTTGCAAATGGAAAGCTGTTTCAAGTGGTGTTCCACAGGGTCTGGCATAGGTCCCCTGCTGTTGGTTTTATACATGAACGATTTGGATTTAAACGTGGGAGGCACGATTGGTTCTTTACAGATTGGTTTTGGAGAAGGTAAAGGCAAAAACTGTTGTTAAGCTCATATTCAAAGTAGCAGTATTTATTATACTCTCGTACTAATTACTACTATTATATATGGTCAACACATACCAGACTCTGGCCAGTAGTTACATGAGTTAATAATTAATCGATGCTCTTTGAGTATTCAAATCCATTTGCACAGAGAGTCACATATTCAAGTGTGTCTCTTCGTGAGCTTTTCCCAGAGGGTTCGAACTCCACCCATTCATGGATTTTACACCCATAATATGTGGCATCACTACAAAGTTGCTCCGGGGTCTAAATCCCTTTCACAACAATATATAAGGAAACATAGAAGGTAATGTGCAAACAGGAAGGCCAGCTAAATCTGTTGGAGTTGTGTTGGTTGAGATATGTCCATTGTTGAAACTACAAAAATAATTCAGGTTTTGTTTTATAAAGTTTCATGCAATCTTTTGCAGCCATCTGAACAAGGATTGTAGTACTTGTTTAATGCACTCAACAAATATTCAGTATTTCATTGGAACATCTGCCTTGTGTGTGGTCTCATATTTTGATTGAGGTTGAATGCTCAATTGCTTGATTAATATAAATATATGAGAGAAATATATTTGAAATCTGTTTATGCTTTAGAAATGTATATGTAGCCTACACAAAATCAAAATTATGACTAAAGCTTAAGAATTTTTTAAATCAAAGATTTTTGTTTTGCTTCCACTGTAAATCATAAGCAAAATCGTATGTATATTTCTCTAATCGAGCTCCATAATTAAGAGATCTACCAAAGCCAATTTGTTATTTCGAATGCTATGTGTGAATTTTGAACAATGAGATTTTTAGTGGAGATAATTCAGATTGTGATCAAATTTTCAGCATAATTAACATTACTATATATTTACCTTTACATTATTGAAATTTTTTTAAGTAGAGCAGAAGAAAATATTTAACTTCACAATTTATCAGTACAGCAGAGCAATTGCCATTATCTACATGCATGATTTTTCTTCCTTTCTCTTCCAAAGGAAAAGCCCCAAGGCATCCTCTTCAAATTGTCTATGTTCCTTCCCATTTGTACCATATGCTTTTTGAACTTTTTAAGGTAAGAATCAATAACCTGTTGCAGTCTACTTATGAAGTGTGAAACATGGCAATGGCTTCTGGAGTCATGGAGGTCTAGCACAGCACAGTTTATGTGACTACAGTTGTTTAGCCACCAGTTTGATGGATGAAATTCATTGAAATATAAGGCTGTAGTCACAACTGAAATCTAAAGTGCCTGTGCAGAGTGGGAATGGGGAATGCCCTTCAGTACTGTAATTTGAAATCCATGTTGCTACACTTTTGGGGCAATTCAAGTGCATTTTACATTTAATATAGTGTTCCTGGTAGTTTTGGAACATTTATTTGTTTTTCTAATTTTGTTTGGAATTCATTCACATCAGCTGTGAGAATGTTACCAAAAACAACCATAAAGAATGTTCTCAAATAGAAATGGCCACTAATTAGAAACGTATGAGCACTTGGAGGCAAGTTAATCTAACAAGAAGAAAATCATGCTGAATGTATGTTTTCTAGAATTAAGTTTCATAGATTGTGGATAGAATCAATTTTTTTTTATTTGAACTAGGAGCGATGAAAACAATGACAACAATGAGCAATAATCTGTATCAGAAATTTGAATAGAAAATATATGCTGCTGTAGGTGTGCAATCAGAAAGTTACCCCACAAATGTCATAATATCTTTATAAGCTGTGCCCGTGGTTTTCTGTTCTATTTCAGAATGCAATGCGAGCTACAGTGGAGAATAACAAATCCAGTACTACTCTCCCTCCTATTAAAGTAATGGTCGCTTTAGGAAATGAAGACCTCACCATTAAAGTAAGTTTAAATCAGCTTAAACAGTATCAAAGGGACCTGATTATTGTTATTAAAAGAGATAATAGTCCTAGATTGATTCAAAAAAATCCCCACGGATGGATGGCATTAATCACAGAATGCTGAAAGAGCCTATGGAACAGCTTTGTTAAACAGCAAAACTAATTATGGAGAAATAATTCAATAGATTAGAGACACATGTAAATAGAAAACAGGCGGGTATGAAGCATATTAAAAATGGCCATTACAACAGTCAATGGTACCTGCCGATACTGTAGTCTTGAATTCCTTAAACCAATGGTAAGGGGATATATTGAACGGAGTGTCTGAAGATTTAGTCAGGACTTAACAGTATTTCTAATTTACTTTACTAACATAGATTCAGAAATTTTCTAAAAACCGAAAGAACTGTGGATGCTGTAAATCAAGGAGCAAAAACAAAGTTGCTGGAAAAGCTCAGCAGGTTGGCAGCATCTGTGAAGTAAAAAACAGAGTTAATATTTCGGGTCCGGTGACCCTTCCTCAGTTCAGAGGTACATATTGAAAATAGTAGAGAAAAAATATCATCTTCACCTTACTTTAAATGGCACAAGTAGAACAAGGCGAGCAGACATAGTTTTAAACTAAGGAGAATATAATTTTATAATCATTTCAAATCTAGTATATGGTAATACAGAGCAATTGTTCATTGCATTTTCTTCAAATTTCATCTGTTTTTCACAAAGATCTTGCCAATTTTTAAATAAATAGATTTAAGCCTTTGAATATACAGAATTGGGAGGAGATGGAGACAATTTGGCCTCTGGAGCCTGCTGTACCACTTGATAAAATCATGCCTGATCTGATTGTGGTCTCAACTTCACTCTCCCATCTGTGTCCCATTACCTGTGACTCCCTTGACAATCAAAAATCTATCTAAGTCAATCTTGGATGCACTCAGTGGCAAAACTTGCACTGGATCTGTGGGGAAGATAATTCTACAGACTAACAGCCGTCGGAGTGAAAATAAATTCTCCATTATTTCAGTCTTGAATGACAGGCCCCCAATGATTAAACCATGCCTCCTAGTTCTAGACATCCCCACAATGGAAAAATCTTCTTAGCCTACACCTTGTTAAATCACTTCAGGATCTTACGAATTTACATCTGTCATTGGGAAAATGTTAGAATCTGTTGTGAAGGATCTAATAGTGAAGCATTGAGAAATACATGATATAATCAGACAGAATCAAAATGGTTTCATGCCTGGCAAATTTATTAGGGTTCTTTGAAGGGATAACAAGTATGATAAATAAAGGGAAACCAGTAGTGGAAGTATATTGGGATCGCTTAAAGATGTTCAATAAGGTGCACGTAAGGTTATGCCATCATCTTTTCTTTAACCCAGGTACAATGGAATAAACACAAATAAACTGGTCAAGAAAATACTCTTGAATCATTTATGAAACAATTGGATGTTATGAGAGGTACCCTTTGGATCTGTGAATGCACAAATCAGTAGGCCAAATGGCTTTCCTTATCCCCATTCTTATGTTGTGAATGTATTTGGCAGAATATGATTTTGACTTCTTTTCCAATTAATGAAGAATAGATTTGAATACTTACTTTTTTTGTATTCTTGCTCCAGGTTTTCTTCTTGAACCAACAGTAATGATGGTCAAAATTACCTTTGCTTTTAGATTTCTGACAGAGGTAGTGGTGTCCCTCTCCGTAAAATTGATCGACTGTTCAGTTACATGTATTCCACAGCTCCCAAGCCAGTAGTACAGAATCTCCAAACAGCTCCTCTGGTAAGTAATCCTTATATGTAATTGCATATAAATCTTCATCGTTTATTTTCTTCCACACCCTTTCATAAATTTTTCTCCTTATTTCCTTAATAGTTGATGTTCACTGTAGCCTATGACGACATAGATGTCACCAGTCTTCTTGACCTTATCCATTTTATGCCTGGATATTGAATGTCAGACTTCAGTTGTAGAGGCCCCAGTTCTGTTATCATTCAATGCTATTTGCACTCATTTTCCAGCAGAATACTTGGCAAGAAGAAATCCAGCTATTCTGTTTTCTCCTTTCCATACAGAAATTGAGTAACTATACCTCTGACTTTTGTTCTTTATTGTACAGTGGCAGGTTTGCTCTTTCTAAGACTTTGCTTTTGTTGGGGGTGTATGGCACGGAGCCTTGTGGATTATATTCAAAACTTAATTAATTGTTCTATTAATCTGCATATATTTCAAATTGTCCAGATCAGCACTTAAGACCACAACAAATAGGAACAGAAGTAGACCGTTCGGCCCTTGAGCCTGCTCTGCCATTCAGTAGTATCATGGCTGATCCAACATTCCTCATATCCATTTTCTTACATATTCCCCATAACCCTTGATTCCCCAACTGATCAATAACTTATCTGTTTCAGCTTTAAATATACATAAGGCTTTTCCCCAACAGCTGTCTGTGGCAAGGAATTCCAAAGACTCAACCCTCTGAGAGAAGAAATTCCTCCTCATCTCAAACTTAATTGGCTTCATTCTGAGACTATGTCCTATGGTCTTAGACTCTCCCATGGGGTAACATGTCCTCTCAGCATTTATCCTGTAAAACTCCTTAAGAATTCTCTATGTTTCAATGAGATCACCTCTTGTTCTTCTAAACTCCAGTGAGTAAAGTCCTGACCTGTTTAATCTTTGCTCATCAGACAGTCCCTCCACACCAAGAATCATCCTTGTGAACTCTCTGAACTGCCTGCTATGAGGTGACATCTTTCCTTAAATAAGCGGACCAAAAATGCTCACAGTACTCCAGATCTGGTCTTGCCAACAGTTTGTACAGTAGAATAAGTCTTCCCTATTCTTATACTGTAACTCTCTTGAAGTAAGGGCAAACATTCCATTAGTCTTCCTGATTACGTGCTGCACCTGTGTGCTAGCTTTCTGTGTTTCAAGGACAAGTACCCTCAACCGATCATCAGACACCATTTCTGCCACCTCCAGCAAGATGCCACCACCAGACACCTTTTCCCCTCCCCTCCCTTGTCCGCCTTCCACAGGAGCCATTCCCTCCAGGACACCCTGGTCCACACTTCCTTCACACCCAACACCTTCCCACAGCCCTACAACACCTTCCCCTGTAACCGACGAAGGTGCAACACCTGCCCATTTACCTCCTCCCTCCCCAGTATCCAATGGCCCAAAAATACCTTCCAAGTGAAGCAACACTTCACCTGCACTTCCCAGAATCTAGTCTACTGCATTCGCTGCTCACAATGTGGTCTCCTCTACATTGGGGAAACGAAGCGTAGACTTGGCGACCGCTTCGTAGAACATCTACGTTCTGCTCACAAAAAAGACCCTGAACTACCTGTTGCCTGCCACTTCAATGCACCACCTTGCTCCCTGGCCAACATCTCTGTCTCTAGCTTGCTGCAGTGTTCCAGTGAAACCCAATGCAAGCTGGAGGAACAACACTTCATTTTCCGCTTGGGGACCCTGCAGCCCTCTGAACTCAATATTGAGTTCAATAATTTTAGGACCTAAACTCTCCCATGTCCCAGCCCCCTACCCACACACCAGGCCTTGTTACCATACAGCCTGCCATTACACACCCCTTGTTGTTAATCACTAACAGTCCCCAATAACAACTATTCACCCTCCCAGCCTGATCATTAGCAACTCCTTTGTCTGTCCAACTGTCTTTCTCTCTCTTTGGCCTCTATTCTATCGTTTACTCCCTATCCCACCCACCTCCCTATTTTCTGTATATAAACTGACATTTTCCCAGCTGCCATCAGTTCTGAGGAAGGGTCACCGGACCCGAAACATTAACTCTGTTTTCTCCTTCACAGATGTGCCCAACTTGCTGAGCTTCTCCAGCAACTTTGATTTTGTTCCTGATTTACAGCATCCGCAGTTCTTTCGGTTTTTACAAGTAGCCTCAAGTTCATTTTTGTTGCAGCTTTCCGCAGATTTCTGTATTGAAATGATATTCTATTCTTTTGTTCTCCCTTCCAAAAAGAACAATTCCACATTATATTCAATTTGCCAATTTTTTGCCCACTTAACCTAACAATTTCTCTCTATGAACTGTATCCCTTGCCCAACCTGCCTTGCCACCTGTTTTTGTGTCATCTCTAAATTTAGCTACAGTAAATTCACTTCCTTCCTCCAAGTCATCTATATATATTATAAATAGTTCTGGTCGCAGTACTAATGCCCGTGGAACCCCACTGTTCACAGGTCGTTACCTTGAAAAAGAAACCTTAAATATTCTGATTTAGGATTTATTCACCATCCGACAGCCATGCAAAACAAGTTATTTCCAAACTCCCAAGTCTGCAACTTTCATGCTGAATGACAAAACAAGATTGACATACTTAGGTAAAGTACGTAGGCTTTGAGTGGTAGAAAACCAGGATCAAAGCCATGTGAAGTCTGTGGGATTCATGTTGGACTTTGCTTTGGAGGCCATTATAGAAGCTAAGTATGGTGTAAACTATGTAACCCTGGAGTTCTAAACGCAAAACCTGTTTAATGACAGTAAAACTGTTATTATGGAGTAGATGTCAGATGTAATCTGAGCTTCTCATGAGTGACATTGCATCTAAGAAAAATTCCACAATCCACTGCTCTTAGATGGCAGGCCATCTAAGGGAGTGTGAGTCAGAAAAACAAGATTTTTGTAAGAAACGGAATTATTTACATTCAAGAAAATACATAGGTCATTGCTAAAATGAGTTTGAACTTAGTTTGGCTACTGGCATAAAGGGGAGAAAAGTCACTTGATGCAAAACTAAGCAAACAAACTTTATTTAAGGAAATATATACTACCAAGTAAATTATTATAAAATGTGTATCTCCATGGCGTTATCGTGAATTATGCAGTTCAGAAGGAGACCATTTGGCTCATCATTTATATGCCAGCTCTTTGAAAGAGCTATTCAATTAATCTCATTTTTTTTAGATAGCCCCACAAGTATTTTCTTTTTACAGTTTATATGTTCAATGGTGGGAAAATTCTTCAGGTTTTGCATTTCTGTATATTTTTTTGTGCAGAAATGTATGTATAGAGTTATAGGATACTTTGCAACATTGTTTCCTTGTAAAGCACATTTCAACATAACTTGTTGGCAGTGAAGGCAACTCAAGAAACCTTTGTATGTTAATTTCCTGAATTGGTAAATGGAGAAGATGCCTTAGAAACTGAAGAACTGGTCGCTGGGTCCAGAGTGCTCTTGTATGACCTGAAGTGCCCTTGAAAAATGAGCTAACTTCACACAATTGTGCTAAATAGGTTCGCCAACAGTCACTGTGCTCCACCAAAAGAACCAAATGCAGTGTACTCCAGTTGAGTGCACCCCAATGCTACTACACTGAGTACTAGTGTTTTTTCAACGTTAAAAAAAAATCTGAAAGAACTGCGGATGCTGGAAATCAGAAACAAAAACAGAAATTGCTGGAAAAGCTCAGCAGATCTGGCAGCATCTGTGGAGAGAAATCAGAGTTAATGTTTCACATCCAGTTTCTTCAGAACCCAGAAGCAGTTTTAATATGCTGGCAAAACGATTTACTGTTTTTTTAACAGGTCATGAGAGTACTCCCGAAATGTGGTGGACTATAAAAAGCCACTACACCTTTTGAGGCTGATTTACCCGTGGTTTTGTTGGTTGCTGTTTAGTTTGTAGCTATATTCCAGAAGAATTCTTTAAGGTGCAGAGTCTTTCTGCCATTGGCAGCACAGTGTGAAGAACTGGTGTATAGATGCTGATTGTTCCTTGTTAATGTGTTTTTAAATCCCCATAACATTTCTCTGACTGTAATGGCTTCTAAGTGTGAATCTAAAAAAAACAGGCTGAAGGCACTCCATCTGCATCTAAGAATGCATCTTTTTATCTGTTGTCAGTTGTAGGCTGTAGTTGTGTTTTCTGCACAACTGATGATGGAGAAATGAAAATCAATATGATTAAATTTATGCACAGGAAACTAGTACAGACAAAAATCATTCCACTTCTGAGTATTATTGATTGTTCTACTGTAAGCAGATTTTGTGAACACCTAGGACATTTTTGATGGAATTAGTTGAAGAAATTAATCAAGAAAAGTTGAGATCAGCTATGGGGAGCAGAAGTGCCACGCTGACACTTTTGTATTTTTGGTCGGTGTGTTCTTTTATGTCTATTAGTTTTCTTTATTTCTAACAGGATTTTTAAAAAAAATTAATTGCCACTTTACTATCAAGTGCTAATAAGCTACTGATAACTTTTCAATATTTGTTTGTACTTAACACTTTGAAAACTATTAACTCTCGATTATTCAGGCTTTTCAGGCATTTTCTGTTTAAACAATGTTGCTTTTGTACTGAATAAGGGAAAGAAATCATGACCCTACAGTTTAATATAACTAGTAGCACATGTGTACTCTAACTTTCTTCTCAGTATACTTTTTGTTTAGCCACCAGTTTATAATCTATACGACAAGTAGCATTTTCCATCTTTTTCAATGACAGTGATTAGTTGGACATTTTCAACTTGTCAGAGATATAAGGATGGACCGTAACTGAGGTAAAAAAAACAAGTGAAATACGTGGGCTGAAATGTCAGAAATCTGTTTCCTGAAATGGACCTGCCTTAATTTGAACCAAAGTTGGAAGAATCATCGAATTTTACAGTACAGAAGGAGGCCAATCGGCTTGTGTCGTACCTGCTCCTGAAAGAGCCACCGAACTAGTCCCACTCTCCATTCCTATCTCTATAGCCCTCTAAATTAATCACTTTCAAACATATATCCAGCTCTCTTTTGAAGCCTTCTATGGAATCTGCCTTGACCACGCTCCCTGGCAGCATATCCAAATCCTAACAACTCTCCGAGTACAGAAGTTTCTGTTCATCTCGCTCTTAACTGTAGTGCTGACAACCTTGTCATTGCGACCCCTAGTTACTGACATACCAACTAATGAAAACAAAATATCCTTCTTTATCCTGTCAAGATTGTTCATAATTTTGAGCACCTTAGTAGAGTCACCTGTTAACCTTCTGTGCTCCAAGGAGAATTAGCCCAATTTCTCTAATTTTTCTTGTATCTTAAACAGTCATTCCGAGTATCATTCTAATAAATCTCCTTTGCATTCTCTCCAGGGCTTTAACAACCTTCCTTAAATATGGTGCCCAGAACTGAGCACAAAACTCCAAATGTAGACTGACCAATGATTTGAAGAGGTGTAGCACCACTTCCTTGCTTTTATACACTATGCCTCTATTTATAAACTTAAGGATCTGATAAACAAAACGGCAAGATGCATCCTATGTGAGATGAGATTTGTGTGTGTCCCTGTGTGCAAAACAGCCTGGCAGAGAGTGCAAGTCATGGGTATCCCTGAACTCCAAACTGAAGTCCTGAACAATTCACCTGGTGGGTGAATTGGTCTGCGACTGAGGGTGGTGGTTTCCTGATGCCAACGTACAGGGATAAAGTGTGGAGGAGGACCTGAAGCATACAATAGTGTTATAATGAAGATATTGTTAGTTGAATGCCTGAAGCAACAAGCAGCAAGCTGCCGCTTGCAGGTAACTGCATTGACTTTCACGTTGGGAACTAAGCAGTTTATCTTCTTGGGGAATGAGAGAAGAATTTAAAGCTATATGGAAATAAGGCAGGTTCAGCTAGCAACAAGATGTAAAAATGCATTGAAATAAGGTAGTTGTGGCTCATCAGCTAGATTCTGATCTCGCCATTTAAACTTTAAGGGAGATATTGAAAAGTATTTTTCTCAATATCAAGATTCTGGGTTTTTTCTCCTTCTTTTCCTACATTTCTTTTCATTGCCCACACAGCTCAAATAATTCCGCCCCGAGACCGAGAACTTGTAGCATTGAAAACCAGGCAATAAATGTGTTCTTCCACAACGGAGTCTAAAAAGTCTTTATTCATCAGGCAATCTTAGCATCTAAGTGTGTTGGCATTTAGTAATAAATTTGAAAGCATTTTTGTATTGTTACAGAAATTTATATTAAGCAATTTCTTTGAGTATTGAAACTAGCTTGCAGAAAGATACTGTACTTTAAGTCTTTTTATTGGATACTGAAAGAATTAATAGCTTTACTTAATCAACAGGCTGGCTTTGGATATGGTCTTCCTATTTCACGCCTCTATGCCAAGTATTTTCAAGGAGACCTTAACCTCTACTCAATGGAAGGACATGGTACCGATGCTGTTATTTATTTAAAGGTAATAAAAAATATATAAGAAAAATATGTAAATGTAGAAGATTTATCCATTCCTTTAAATTTCCAAGAGGAAATTCCAAGAGGAAAAAAGAATAACGAGTGGCTTTAAGAGAGAAAAGTAAATGGAAGGGCAGAATGTTTAAAATATAATACTTTGTAAATCATCTAAAACCAACATAACCACTGATAGTTTATTTCTGAGCAAGAGAGATTGATTGGCAGTAATTAATAGTGATTACGTTATTAATGGCATACTTACCAGACTTACCTTTCTGCAGTGAATTAAGTGTGCAAATACAGGAAGATATGAAAATTTTGCAGGTATTTTAACATAAGAAGTAATGATCTTCAAACTACAAGGATCCTTTGTAATGAAAATTCAAATATTTTCAATTGGTTTCCCATGATCTTTCAGCACAAAATTGTCCTTAAATTTGACACTAATTAACAATGTTGCAGTTGTCAGCCAGGGCTTAGGACAGAGACATAGATTTTTGCATGAGAAAATTGTGCCTTCAACTCCCATCTTGTAGATTAGAGAACATAATGCACACAGTTCATTGCAGTACTGAGAGAGTGATTCCATGTTGGGGGTACCTTCTTTCAATTGATGCTTAAATGAAGACTCTGTCATTTCATCATGGTGGATGTAAGGATCCCCATGAATTCTTTTAAAGACTAATGTGAAATCTTCCCTGATCCCCTGCAGCTGACATTACTAAAATAATCCAATCATTATCTTATTCCTGTTTGTGAGACCTGGCTGTGTATAAATGAACTGCCCATTTCTAACTAATACACACTATGTTTCAAAAATATAGTTGGTGGTTTGGTGATAATGTTATGAGTAGTCTAGAGATCTAGGCTAGTGCCCTGGAGAGAGGTGCAAATCCCACCATAGCAGCTGGTGGAATTTAAATTTAATTAATAAGTCTGAAATTGGAATTTTGTCTTAGTAATACTGACCATGAAGCTATCATCAATTTTTATAAAAACTCATTTAGTTCACAGTTGTCCTTTCCCACTTTAGCGAAGGAAATCCATCACGTTACATGGTCTTACTGACTTGTGACTTCAGACACGCAGCAATGAAATGACCTGACAGCCACTTGGTTCAAGGGCTATCGGGGACAGGTAACAAATGCTGGCCTTGTCAGCAATACCTACATCCCACAAAAGCATTAATAACGAACAGAAAACATTGGCAACATGTCTCTTTCTTTTCAGCAATAATGGCATTGTTACTTTGTTGTTTTTGATTTTAATTTTTTTTTACTTTTACAATTATTTTAATAGGCTTTATCCACTGATTCAGTGGAGCGGTTGCCTGTCTTCAATAAATCCGCTTGGAAGCATTACAAAAGTAGGACTGAAGCAGATGATTGGTGTATTCCCAGCAGTGAACCCAAGAACTTGTCCAAGTTCAGTCATCACATTTGAAGAAAAATATTATGAAGAGGAAGGTTCAAGCAATGTTCACAATCACACTGTAACCTTTCTGTGACCATGGTATAGAAATGAATGTTGGTGGCATGCTATAGACTGTCCTGACTTGTATGAAACATTCAAATGTACCTCATATAGTTATCATCATTCAAGTGCATGAATTGACCAATGCTTCCTAGACAAAAAGAAGCAGTAATTTGTGAAATGAATTCCGTATTTACAGAATGAGTATAAGGAGAGAAAAATAAGATCAACATTTGTAGACATGTGATTTTTCTGGCGATGTGTTTTTTTGTGTGCCTGACTAAACCGGAAACTTGCCATTGTGGGAGTTACAGGCTTGAACTAATGCCTGGACTAGAACTCATCAATGATTTTGCAGATGATAATATTTCTGTTTCTTTCAGATGTTTGCTATATGCAAATTGGCTGCGGAGTGATTACATTTAAACAATCAGTTCATTTTCTGTAAACCACTTACAGACATTCTGAGGTTGTGACAAGCTCGGTATAAATGCAAGTTCTTTCATTTTGATGGTGTCAAGTGTGCTTTCCTGTATATAGCCCTGTGTCACACTTGGCTAGGGGTTCTACAAGCATGGCTCTGTTTTGGGCAAGAGACATGAAAAATGTGATTGAATGAGGGCAAAGTAGTGACTTCTGGCATGAAAGGAGTCTCGGAAATGAGATGGTTTTATTGCTTTTTCTTTGGACCTGCTTTGGGGCAACATAAGTGAAAGGCAGAATTAGGGAAATTATCAGTGTTTGTGTTTTTTTTCTATCTGCAGTTGAATTCGGCTTTTACTTTCATCCTACTCTTTGGACATGAAGCAACGTATACATGTATGTATTTGAATAGGTCTGCTTATCACTGGTTACCAGTGGTGCCTTGTGGATAGTTATAAAGTTATATAAACTGTATTTGTAAACAATCTGTGAAAAACTGAACAACTCGGTGTCAATCTGCCAGTATATCTTGTATGTTCCTGAACAGAGAAGTTCTGTGAAATTGAAATGCAGATGGACTGCGTATTTTAAAATGTGAAATAAATTTTTGATAGCTGTGCATAATTGTTGAAATGTGATAATTGAGGTTCAGTCAATATGAATACTCTTCAAAAGAAAAGCACTTGTTTGGGTGCTGAAATAAAAATCACATTTTGAATATTCAAATAAGTGAATCTAAACTTTTGTAACCTCTTAAACTGTTGCCGTTAGTTTTGTGTTGGGCAACAACTAGTATTTATCACACAATATTTCCATCATTAACCTACTTACATTGATCACATTGATTTAAATTATTATGAAGAAAGGAGCCGTGCAATCCAAATACAACCCTTGATCTCTAATTGGGTTGTCTGGATTTCTTTTTCTACAAATACTTAGACTGTCTACACCATTTTTATCACTGAATCACAGAATTGTTACAGCACAGGGGGCGACTATTTAGCCACATCATATCTGTGCCACCTCTCCAAATAAACATTTTACTTAATGTTATTCTCCTGCCTTGTCTTCGTAGTCCTTCTTATTGTGCTGAATCTTACCAGAAGTTAGCTAAGTGTTATTTTTGGCAAGTTTCATGGAAGGTTCCTCTCCACGAGGCCTAGCATTGTTTCTAACACTATATTCCAAACTTACCTAATCACCTATGCACTATGCCCCTATGGTGCACTAGCGTCGTATTTAAAGGCTAGTTGTACACCTAATCAAGTGCTGTCAGTCCATCGCTGCCCTGCACGGTTCCTGTCAATTACCCCATCTTTGTCTTAGGGCGGGGGGACCAGGGGGCGGGGGCGGGGGGATGCAAAATTGACACCTAACTTTTCTGTTACAGGACTGGAAGGACAGGGAATGCACACTGTCACTGTCCATGGAGTGTGTCCTGAGATGTTGGTGCTTGGTGTCCAGAATGGAGGGCCAGAGGAGCAAATGGCAAGCTGGAGTCTCCAGGTTAGTGCTCTAACTTTCATGTTGGGAATTGTTGTTGTCTAGTTATCCAGTGGGTGGTGGAATACTATACAGTTCTGCAATGAGGCAAGATGACATAATAATGAAAATACTAATAAGTACTAGTGCGTTTACTTGGCCTGTTGCTGCTTAATATGGAGAATCTTGTTTCAGTTTTGGGAATCTCCTTACTGCTGATGCATAATTTTCCCAACCTGCTAGCAATTTTTCATATCGTTTGGTGGCTGGAGGATTCCATTCATTGTTCTTTTTCAGATAACAACATAATTCTCTTTTGTAACCTCAACTAAACCTCCCTCCACCACACACTCAGGGAGTGCATTCCAGACCCTGACTACTTGTCTCATAAAAATGGTTGTCCAATTTAGTTTATTTTGGGATGACATCAATTGGAATTGGCCTTATTTTTAAAGTTTGAAGTTTTAATTTCAGTCTTCCATTTCTAATGATTAAAATTGCTATTTTTTTCCACATTCTGTACTTTTTAAGACTGTTTAGTATCCATTATGTTTTATTAATTACAATTTGTAATTGTAATATTCCACAATGAATTTCTCATAAGTGTGATTTAACAACTTATTTTTGTTTGACTCACAAATGTAATAAAATAAATAGTAAGGAGGTACAGAGACAACAAGGTGCAGAGCTGGATGAACACAGCAGGCCAAGCAGCATCATAGGAGCACGGATTAATGTTTAAGGTTTGTAAAGGAAGTCAAAACTAAAGCTGTAACTAATGGATCGTTACATCAGTGCTATTGCTTGCAGTACTGGCTGTAATTTACTTGATCTTTCTAGCACCTCCTTTCGTGCACTGGGCTATCTGTGCCATTAGAATTGATTCTTGGAAATGTTTCTGCAGCCCTTCCCAGATGAATATCATTACTCCTATTCCACTAATGGAATGCCCCGGTCGATAAAATATACCACAGGGCTTTCTAGAAACAACATTTTAATTCAAAGTTACCGTTTATAAAAGTTACCGTTTATAACTTTGTGTTGTCTGATATTATGTGCCTTGTTTAGTAGTATAATTTCTTTAAAAGAAGTATTGTTTTCAATTAGTATATGCATCGAAATAACTTTACAGTCACACATAAGACTTGCTAATAAAACAATTCAGAGAAGAAAGTTGGGGTCTCTTAAGTGTTTATCGTCCATCCTCAGAGGAATCTTAGTGAAAAATCACCTAGACACAATGTCCTTTTATAAGCCCTTTTCTTGGGAGGACCAGCTAATCTCTCTTACCTCAGCTAATTACTTGCAATCTGTATATAGCATAGATTTTATAAATTATACATCCTGGCACATCTAACATCAGGGCCAGAAATCAGCTCCTGTAAAATTAATGCATATAAATTATACAGAACCTGCTGAACTCACTTAAATGCTTGGCATTCAATCTTGTCAGAAGCTCAGATCTGGAAGCAATACTTCTTAAAATCTGTTCCATGATCCATCAATGACAGGTGCACTTTTTTACTAATTTTTTTACTTTGTCTGTTGGATGTATTTCACATCAAGTTACATTATTTATTGGTATTTTATTGTAATTTCTACATGTTTATCTTGTTTTTAATTGTGTTTACGAAAGAATTCCCTTGACTGTGGTTTAAGTCTTTGCAGTCACTGGCATCTGTGACTGATTACTTCCCCATCTCACTGAAATGTGGTAGAACCATAGCTAATGAGAAGGTAAAGATACTGTTAAGTAAAAGAGGCTTATAGTGTTGTCAAAAAGGTTAGTAAGCCTGAGTATTGGAAGAGGTCAGAATTCAGCAAAGCAGTATCATGCAATAAGGGAATAGACTTGAAAGAGGCCAGCACAGGTTGCATACCTTTCTATACATTTGTAAATTGGAAACAATTAATGAAAATAAACATGGACCTATTAGAGGCATAGGCTGATGAAATTATAATGGAAAATAAATAAATTGTAGAGACATTAAACACAGATTGTAACTATCTTCATTGTAAAAGATACAACAGAAATGCATACACATTAGGGAACAAAGGAACAGAGTGATGCATTTTGGGAGGTCAAATAAGGGAAGGGTATATATAATAAATAGTAGGTCCCTAGGGAGTAGTGAGGAACAAATGGACCTTGGTAAACAAGTCCATAGATTCCTGAAGATGTCAGCATAGATGGATAGGATGGGTGAAAAAAGCATATGGGATGTTTGCCTTCATTAGCTGGGTATATAAAATAGGAGCAAGGAAGTTTTGCTACAACTTTATAAAATATTGGCTAGGCCTCCGATGCGGTACTGTATGCAGTTCTGGTTGCCACACCTCCAAAAAGATGTGATTGCACTGGAGAGGGTGCACAGGAGATTCATCAGGACGTTGCCTGGGATGAAAAATCTCAGTTATGAAGAGAGACAGTATAGGCTGGGTTTATGTTCCCTGGAGCAGATGAGGCTGAGGGGGTGATCTGATTGGGGTATACAAAATTATGAGTGGCATAGACAGTATTGATTGTGAGAGTCTCTTCCTCATGGCAGACGTGTCTAAGACCAGAGGGCACAAGTTTAGAAGAGACTTGAGAAAAATTTTTTTCACCCAGAGGTTGGTGGAAATATGGAACACGCTACCTAAGAGGATGGGGGAAGCAAGTACTCTCGCAACATTTTAGAGACATCTGGATAAGCACTTAAAATGCCAGTGCATTGTAGTGAATGGGATTAGTGCAGTTTGATGTTTGTTAGTCAGTTTAGACATAGTGGGCTAAAGGGCCTGTTTCTATGCTATATGACTCTAAGAATGAGGAATGTTTTGGTAAAAATGTATAAGTAAAGAAATAGTACTTAATGAGATTAATTCACATAGCTAAATAGTCTGTCTTTATGTTTCAGGCTTGCATTCATATCCACTTCTCCTTTAATCATTTTATTCTGGTCCTCCTTTGCTAGATTCTAAATTGCTCCCAACCCTCAGGCTTACCACTTTTTCAGACATCTTTATAAGCCACTATCTTTGATCTAAAGCAATTTTAAAAATTCTTTTGTTAACCTCATTTGGTTTACTTTAACCATTTGCCATTTGTGTCTCAGAGGAAAGTATATCTGTTGTGGGATTTTGTATTTCTTTAAATACTAGCCATTACCTATCTAATGTCAAAGCTTATAGTATATCTTTATTTTTCCAATCCACCATAGCAAAATTTCTCCTCATACCTTCATAATTCCCTTTCTTCAGATTTAGGATTCTAATTTCAGAATGAACCATGTGACATTTAAACTTAATGTGAAATTCTATCGTATTATTATCAAAATTGTAGAGTGGCTCCTTCAAATCAAGGTTATTAATTAGCCCCTCCTCATTATACAACACTAAATCAAAAATAACCAGAATCCAAACTAACTTTTCAGCATTCTGATGCAGAAAATCTTTTCAGAAACGTTCCAGGAATTCATCCGCTGCAGCATGAATGCTTATTTGGTTAACCCAGTCACCTCAGTCTGTGCGTAAATTAAAGTTGCCTTTTACTATCCACACTATGTGTATTTCTAATTTCTTGGTTTATATTGTGCCCAACTTTGCCACGACAGTTTGTGTCTATGAACACCTCCCACTAATGTTCACTATCCCTTGCTGTTTCTTAACTCCGACCAAATTAATTCCAGATCTTGATCTTTCAATCAAAGTTCCTCTAACTAATGTACTGATGTCACCTCTTATTATGAGAGCTTTCCCACTTCCTGGTTCCAATCCTGGTCACCCAGTAGCCACATCATAATGGCAATTAGGCTGTGTCTATTGCCTTCATTTGTAGGTTCAAAACGTTAGCCTTTTTTTAAATGCTACATGCATTCAGTTAGAGTGTCTTTAATCAAGCCTATATAAATTCTCCTGTTCGATGCTTGCCATTGTTTTGTCTGTCTTCTATTTTTGCCTATTACCTTCCACTGCCATTTTCTAGCTTTTCTTCCTTTTGAAATGGAGGCTCTATTTACATTTCCATCTCCCTGCCAATCTAATTTAAACCCGTCCAAACAATGCTAGCAAATCTCCCTGTGAGGATGTTAGTTCTGGGCCTGCCAAGATGCAAGCCATCAATCTTGTGCAGATCCCACCTGTTACCAGAATTAG